CTGCATGCGTAAAGACAACCCCAAAATGATGTAAAAAAAAATTAGGTCCCAGATTTAAAAAAAACAAAAAACAAAAAAAATGATTAGTGATGATATGCAAAAGCAAAACACACAAGTAAACAAACATAGAGTTCAAATGTATTGACACAATCAAATACAACATATCTATATTAACGTCTAAAGAATAACCACACAAAGTTAAAGCAAAAACTACATCTGAGTAATGTTAACAAAAGTACTGCTATATTAACATATCCAACATGCCCTGAGACAGATGTTATATATACAATCTACTGTATTTTATGTTTATGACTATCTGCTTTCTCACTAGAATATCTCCTTTATTAGACCAGCATAATGCGCACAATTCAGTAGAATATGTGGTCGAAAGCATGCAGTGTTTATTTTCAAAGCTGTATGCCCACAGGAACTGACCATTGCTGTTTTGGTTTCAGGGGGAAAGACTTCTGAGATAGGACGTGACCAGAGGGCATGAGATTGGACTGCCCTTAAACAACTGAGCACTTCCTGTATGTCTTCCTGTGTTTGTGAGCTACATTTGGTTCCACAGAATATTGAACTACAGTAGACCTAAATGCAAGATCGCATGTTTAACAGAACTCAAAACGCAAAGCATGCTTAATTGCATGAAGACAACACAAATGAGCCTTCTGATCATGGTAATAGCATGTACATACTGTATATGCTGCACATGACTAGGCTGATGGGTTTATGTGGAGATAGCATCTGTAAACACTGTGGAGCTCTTAACACCCTGCAGGCAGTGTTCTTGTTTGCAGTCTGCTCTGGACATGTTCCATCTTTGTTTTTCCACATGGTTGAGTCGTTCTAGTGACAGCTCTCAGAAGTTCTGGAAGCCAATGGAAAATGTGCCATCTCATAAAGTCGTGAGGCTTCGCACGAACAGGCCAGAGTTTGCTGGAAATGAACCACTATGTCAAGTCAAGGTAAACAGTGTCATGTGAAGGTCTCGGTCAATCTCTAATAATATCCTGCTAATTCCTCATTTGATGGCCACACAACTGAACCAGGGCTGAGCTCGGTACACGAATGATGAGAATGACATTTTATGTAATTAACTTTACTTTAATATTTGTGTCAGTTTCTTGTCAAAGCACATAATTTCCCCCCAAACTTCAATACACATTACATATTACATATATACACTACTGCTCAAAAGTTTGGGGTCAGTATGTTTTTTTAGAGGAAAAAAGGTTGCATTAAATTGATCAAGAGTGACAGTAAAGATATTTGCAGTATGATGTTTCAAAAGATTTTTAAAAATAAATGCTGTGATTTTAACTTTTAAACAACTTGTTTTGACCAACACAATAAATGCCGTAAAAGAGACTTATGACGTATATAAAAATAAAACATCAATAACACATAATAAATACATAAACACATTTTCGTATTAACAAAACAACTTTTAGAGAACAGTCAAGAGTCCAATGTGTCCATGCAAATGCATGTCATCACCTCATTCAACTAGTGAGTGTCTTTCTTGTAATCGAGAGCTAAATTTAGCACCCAAAACCTGCCACTTCACACACATGCACCGCACATGCCCGCTTTAATGACCACACTTTAATGTTTGGAGACAATTTCCCCTCTATTTACTCCAGAGAGTCCAAAGCTCAGGTGGTGCCCAGTGACCAGGCAACTGGGTGGATGGATAAAAGGAGCAGGCTGAACTCATGCAGGTCGTTGCAGGGATGACAATCCAGATTCAAGACACTGAAAACAAGATTACGAGATTTTACAAATAGCTACTTGTGCCTGCTAAGACTCATAATGTTACCCAAAAACAGAAAACATGAATGAATATTGCTGTTTTATAACAAACTGACAGCAGTAATGGAAGTCTTTTATGGTTATGGGATCAGCAGTACGTTATACCTGCAGACGCATTATGGACATGCCCAAAGCTGGTTTACATTCGTGTCTACAATGGCAGACCTGCGTACAACATTTTTATACTTTTTTCCCATTTGGTTTCATCTACAATCAGCAGTGGGAGTGAAGCTGGTCTGGGTTGCTGTTGTGGGAGATTGGCTCAACTTAGTCCTCAAGTGGTAAGTATTGTTGTTGCTTCTGTAAATATCAGTGAATATCCTTTTTTTTTTATTTTAAAAGAAGCATTTGGAGCCAGATTGAATGGATAAATTATAGAATAATCACAAATCTCAATATTGAATGTCTATTGGAAATGTAATGAATTTATCTTCACTGGTCCTAATCAGATTTATTTATTAAATCACTAAACAGGCTTATGTTTGGCGAGCGTCCTTATTGGTGGGTTAAAGAAACTCTTTATTATGGCAACTTGACTGTACCACAAATCAAACAGTTCCCCATGACATGCGAGACCGGCCCTGGTGAGTGTCTCCTTATGTTTCTCATTGTATGTATATAGACCAACCAACACACTAAATCAAAAGCAGACTTCATAGCGGTTTCTGACTGCTCTTCTAGGAAGTCCCTCCGGTCATGCGATGGGATCTGCAGGGGTTTACTATGCCATGGTCACGTCACTGCTGACGATTTTGCAGGAATGTGACCCCCTAAAAAGATGGTGAGTGATTATGTCCTGTTTATATTTTTTATAGTCTTCAGTAAGACTTCCTTTACAAGATAATACCAGACCGAATGCATGGAAATGCTCCTCAGTCACAACAAATCATCCAGAAAAATTGAGAGATAAAAAGGAAGGAAAGAAAACTCTTGCACAACATATCACAATCTTTCCAGCATCCAGCCGGGCGGAAATACCTCATTAACCACTAGTAAACTCATTTATCTTGGCAGCTCAGTTTTATCACCATATTCAATTCAATTCAATTCAAGTTTATTTGTATAGCGCTTTTCACGATACAAATCGTTGCAAAGCAACTTTACAGCAAATTAAGTTTCTACAATATTTAGTGGTAGCTTATCAGTGGTGACTGTCAGTTAATGTACATATGGCAGAAATGTACAGAAAAATCAAGTTGTATATTGTAAAGATGCAGATTATTTTGGGTAGATGATGGCCCAGTTACTCATATAGATATTGAATGTCATTTTGAAAAATAACCAGATTCTTCATGTCTATGTTTTGCTATTTAATATTAATGATAAACATTTTCCTTCCTTTGCATTTGTGCCATATACTAGGTGCTTGGAGGGTCTTCTTTGGGCCCTTTTCTGGGGTGTGCAGGTTTGTGTCAGTCTTTCTCGAGTCTTCATTGCAGCTCATTTCCCACATCAGGTCATTGCGGGAGTTGTTTCGGGTCAGTTGCATTGTATATTTTTCATATTAGTCTGCCATTCAGAATTACCTACAAGATGAATAAGATCTCTTACTTCTCTTATTCTGGTTTCAACATACAGTTTCTTAAGTAATTGTTCACATTCACAATACAGGAATCGCTGTGGCCAAGGCTTTTAATAGAGTGTCCTGGATCTATTCAGCAAGCTTGAAGAGTTATGTGCACACCATCCTCTGTCTTGTGTTTATTGCGCTGGGGCTCTATGCATTGTTGGATGCTGCTTCAATAGACCCCTACTGGAGCCTAATGAAGGCACAGAAGTGGTGCATTCAGCCTGAATGGGTCCATCTGGACACCACACCCTTTGCTGGCCTCCTCCGCAACACCGGGGCCCTGTTCGGCCTGGGGCTGAGCCTCCATTTGCCTATTCATGGTGATCTGCAAAAAAACAGGAACTGTGGAAACAGCGCCATTTACAGACTGACCTGTACAGCAGCAACACTGCCACTCCTGAGCCTCTTAGACTCATTCAGACCTCCCACAAGCACTCATGCGCTCTTCTATGCACTTTCTTTCTGTAAGAGCGCCACTGTGCCTCTAACCACAATACGTTTTGTACCTTACTGCATAAGCACATTAGCAAATGTATACCACAGAATGAAAGCATATTAAACTCAGAAAACACATTCTGAGATTGTATTTAAGTCTGCATGCAATTAAGTCTGTATTAACCATTTTCCTCACTTTGCCTGTTTTAAAATATTTCGATGCAAGTATTATTCTTGAAAACCAAAGATTATTTGATATGTTTTGATTTGAATGTATGCAAACTGAATTAAGCCGAGATATCATCAGGAATATCCAATGCTATATATAATAATTAATGTAAAATAGTATATAATGTAATAAATAATATAAGTGTGTCATGAGGAAAAGAGATCAAAGAGCTATAATTATATGGTTTTCAGTCCAAATGTGCGTACATTTATTATATGGTATATTTTATAGTATCTGCTGGCCAACATTATTGTTTGATTTTTTTTTGTTACCGTTTATATTTATACTGTGATAAATTGTTAGTTTTATCTTTTTTTGTGTGTGTGTTTTTTTTATGTTTGTGTTTTATCAAGCTTATAATAAACTGTTCAATGGCAGGTTCAGTTGTGACAACTTACCCCATATAATGTGACAACATGCCCCTCTATAATAGACAAATGTTCAATGTGCCTACAGAGACACTGATTTTCAAAACAAAAAAAACTATGCTAAAAGATATTATTAATCAAACTGTTATTATTATGACTGAGCTTGAAAATTTGTATATAATAGCAGGGAAATATATATTACACAACTTCAAGTAATACACTGTTGTATTAAATATGTTACAGTCTAAAAACAATATCAAGGGTTCATCTATTATAATTATTTTATGAAATGCACAGTGTATTAAAAAAATCTGGTTACAGAGACCTTCCGAAAATTCAAACTCATGATGAAACGCTTAAAATAGGCTAACATGTCTTTATCAGACAGTGACATTAGTGCCGCCATCTAGCGACAGAACTATTACCACAGGAACTGCACAACGTTAATAATATCTCTTTTCTTTGTGTTTGACCTGATACACATTTGTAATCAGCTAACAATAGGGTAATCATACATAAATCGTCCACGTCTGTTTAAAACGATGGTTACTTCCTCGTCTTTATCATTTTCCGTGAGACCCTTACATTAGAATTTTGTACCGGAAGTGGAGGGTGTAAACAGACCACGCGCGCAGTCATGACCCATGACTGTCAGTGATGAAGCAGTGTTTCCTTGTACCACATGAATGTTTCCCTCACTTCCACAGGGATGCATCACTTAAGCAGCCTTCGACAGGTTTCGGCGATCTAACCGCATTCAGAAATCCAGCAGAAATCAAACCTCGTGAATCGTCTGCAGCAGAGAGCGCCGCGGAGAAGCGCAATGCCGCGGCGGAAGGTATGACTGCATCCTACAGGCCAGCTGCGAACATCGCGCACCTGCGTGTTTATGTGTAGCCAGCCTTCAACTGCTCGCTTCACACACACACACACACACACACACACACACACACACACACACACACACACACACACACACACACACACACACACACACACACACACACACTGTATCACTGTATATCTGTATATATATATACTGTATATATATATGTATATATATATACTGTATATATATATA